CTGTTTTTTCAGGGCATGAGACGATGCTTGTTCCCTGGGCCTCTGGGGGAGCCTCTTGGAGGCCTCGCGGGGCGTCTTGAAGGCATCTTGGGCCGTGTGGAGGCCATTGTGGGCGTTTCGGAAAGATCTTTCGGCGACTCGGGGCCCTCTTGGACAGTCTTGGGGGCCTCTTGGGGGGCCTCAGGAGCTGTCTTGGAGCTCCAGAGGGAGCCCGGGAGGGCCGGAGGACCCTCTTGGGGAGCACATCCAGGGGTCGTCCCGGGCCGGAGGGGCGGGTGGAACGGCCCGTTCGGGGTCCTGGTGGGGGTGGATTATGGGCGGGGGGGGGAGCAATCTCACACGCCTAGAGACCCTCAAGGGGTCGGCGGATGTTCCAGAATTCCCCCCTCTGGAAACTGACAGGCCCAACGGCGACTTCGGGTTGGGGGGGGGCCATTGGGTTCGCACTCGCGCGCGGCGCTCTGGACGGCTGCGAAGCCCTTGGGGGGTATGCGCTCAGGGCCACGGCGCGCCTCGTCAGCATACGGGCAGCCGCGCAGCACCAGCTGAACAGTTCTCGTCCTCCTCCTCGTCCTCCTCGGCCTCCTCCTCGTCCTCCTCGTCCTCGTCCTCCTCCTCGTCCTCCTCCTCCTCGTCCTCGTCCTCCTCCTCCTCCTCCTCCTCCTCCTCCTCCCCCTCCAGGAGGGCGCGCGGGCCGATCAGCGCAGGACTGGCTTGGCCAGGGATGGGCAGGGGGACGGCTTTGCGCCGTCTGCTCTGCTACGGCAGCCGTTCGTTACGCTCTTTGCCTATGCTTTCTGTCTCGTCAGGGGTACAGTCGGGGCCCTGAAGAAGGAGCCCTTTTCGTTTGGGAGGGGCTCCGTGTTCCTCAAGTGTGTCGCAGCTTGCCTCAGATCTTCCTTCTGTTTTCGATGGGAGATCGAGGTTGAACTTGTGGGAAAAAGTGGCCTCGTTCCTTATTTAGGGTTCCTTAGGTCAAGGCCCCGACTGTACGGCATGATCGTTCGGAGTTCGCTACAGTTATACGTCAACGCGGCATCCGGCACGGTCGAGCGAGGCGACAGCTGGCCAGCGGTGCGAAGACATTCCAAGCGGTGCGAAGGAAATCCTCGAAGTGTACAGCGCAGTGTCTTGGCATCTCTCGGACGTGTGCACTTTTCCTTCGGCGAGGACCATCGAGGAGCATCCTTGATCAGTTTGCGAAAAAACCACGCACGAAACCGAAAAAAGCACAGGAAATGGACGTCCGAGCGATGGCCAGGTGTCGACGGCCGCCGATTGGTGGCCAGTTCGCGCTATCCTAGCAAGGTCGGCGCGTGCCGAAGCATGCCGTACACACGTGCAGCTACAAAACGAGCAATGCCAATCAACGCAAAGCAATGTCGGCGAATGTAAAGCAACGCTTGCTAGTCCCGTACGCTGACAGACAGCGTCGAGCATGATCGAATAGGGTCAAGCAAGGTCCTACGTCGATCATAGCGAACAGAAGTGCACCACGGTGAACGACAAACTTCGTTTACTCTTGCACGAGGTACCGCATAGAACACTTGTTCGAAGGGCCGTGCGCCCGGATACCACATAGTCTCCCTTGCTGTGCAATCTCACACCAGATGATCTGATTGCAGGGTGCCAAGGCTGCAAGAGCAAGAACGCTATGTGCAACCGGGCGTGGGGCATAAGAAGGTCCGTGTGAGCGAGATGGCCCCGTCGTTCTCTTCGTCACTCGCTGCGGCCAGGCGAGGGGGGCGCTCGGAGACCGGCCCCTGCGGTGCCCCATGGCCCCCGGGACGCCCTGGGCACACGCCAGACTCAGGAAGGGAACAAAAACACAGACGCAATGAATCGTCGATTCCGCAGAAAATATGGGACAATAGGGGAAGTGGGGGGGAAGACAAAACCGAGGAAATATTGGAAAATATGTGGACTTTTTTTGGTGTGTATTTATTTGTGTGTCCTGGGGCCCCTTCACAGACCGTGGATCCCCCGTGGGGCGGCGGGCGTGCGTGTCCCACGGTGGCAAGCTAGCATGGATTAGGGATCCGTGGGTTTGGCGCGTGGGCGCCAGATCCACGGGGCGGGGGAGGCAGCCCCCGAGTCGCGGGGCCGGCCGGGGCTGCCCGAGTTGGCGACGGAGCTCGCCGAGGCTGTACGGGAAAGAGTCAAGCAGTGGCGAAGCGTCCCGGCTCGCCTAAAGCCCCACCAAACAATGTTCTAAGAACTTTCTGTGGTTCCCACGAAATGTTCTTAGAACATTTTTGGCCGGGACTGTCTTGTTTTAACACATCGGGTTTATGTTCTAAGAACATAGGTTTTTGTTCTTAGAACATGTTGGGGTTTCAAGAACATTTCGTGGCATGACTAGGAATGCTGGGACGGTCGGTCCCTGCTCAAAATCGTCGCGGGTCCTCGCTTCGTTATCCTCTCTCTGCGCTTTTTCGGATCTCGGGCCCGGGCGGGGGATACGTGAAGTCCTGGCTTCAGAGTTGAGGGTTCCTCTAAAACATCGGGGGCGGCCAATAGGGGGATTGATGTTCAGGCGGGGACGTGGCCGGGGCCACTGTATCTTCCTGGATGTCATGACCCTTTATTATTATTATTTTTATTATTATTATCATTATTATTCTTATTATTATTATTATTATTATTATCATTATTATTATTAATATTATTATTATTATTCTTTTCATTAGCATTCGCATTTGTATTATTATGGTGTTTCTTGTGTTTCTGCTTCGTATTATTTTTTCTTGATTCTCTTCTTACGCTTATTCTTATTATGTTCAATGCGTCCCATGGGCCCCCGTCGTCCGCGCGGATGCCCCCAGGGCCAAGAGTGGCGAGCCCCCCTCTTGGACCCCCGCTCCTTGCTTCTCGGACGCGCTCGAACAGCAAGAGACGCCTCCTGCAGCTGGGGGGTACAGGGGGAGGTACAGCCACGCGGGGAGAGCCAGGGCGTGGCAGCCACGCGCAGAGGGGGGTACAGGGGGAGGGGGGAAGCCTTCTTAGAAGCACCCCTGCTTCTAAGAGGCCTTCCCCCCACCCCCTGACCCCCCCCCGCGTGCTGCCAGTCCTCGCGGGGGCCTCCCCGCCTTGCCCCCGCGGCCCTGCGAGGGCGTCAGCAACGTCGTGGAGTTCAGCCTCGGCGGGGCCATGTGACGCACGTGCCCCCCCCCGCCCTCCTCGCGGAGCGACCCTTCGCCCTCGGCCTCCCGCTCTGCCTCCTCTCCTCCCCTCCCCTCCCCGGCCCTCCTCGCTTTCGCCTATTTGCCGCTGCCCTTGCCGAGGCGGAAAGGTACAGTTTCCTTCCCCTCCTCGCTTTTTGCTGTTTGCCGCCCCCTCGTCGCTGCCCTCCCTCAATCCCTCCTCCTCCTCCCTCGCCGCTGCCCTTGCCGAGGATGGGCAGGACGAATCGGTATGTGCTGATGCCACTGCCCTTGCTTCGCTTTCGCCTTTTTTGGGCCTCCTGGGAGGGCCCTCGTCGCCGCGGCCGGATTCGCTTCGAGCATCTGGCCAGAACGCAGTCCAGGAGAGGTCCGGGGAGTGGCGGCATCGGTACGTTTGGGTTTTGGTTTCTCCAAGCTCCTCCACCTCTTCCTCTTCCTCCTCCTTCTCCTCCATTCCTGTGCCTTCTGAATCATTCGTCCCTATCGCACCCCGAAGTCAGTCGGAAGGGCGGGCCGGGCGTTTTGCATGAGACTTCCTTCTTATTTACGCGCCAGAATCTTGGAAGACGGCGACATTTTCACACATGTGGGGCAGGCCGCTTCCAACATGTGGCTCTCGCCGTAGCGCCGCGCATGCTCGTCTTAAACGTTTGCAGAACTTTCGCGGATTGAGAGCGGGCCGTTTTCAATATGTGGTTCTCGCCTTGGTGCCGCGCACATTCGTTGTACAAACTTGCAAGTGTTTTGCGGATTGAGGTCGGGTGGGTGGCTTTCAAAATGCGGTTCCTGTTTTAGTGCCGCGCATGTTCTTGGTCAGAACTTGCCAAACAAACTCGCGGATTGAGGGCGGTTGATTTTCAGAATGAAGGAACATTTGTTTCAAAGCATTCACGGATTGAGGGTGGTTCGTTTTCAAAATATGGTTATCACCTAAGCGTTGCGCGCATTCATTTTAGACATGTGCCAGAGTTTCGCGGATTGAGGGTTGTTCCTATTCAGAATGATGATCTTGCCTTATAGCCGTTCGCATTCTTGTTTAAACATTTGCAGAAGTTTCGCCTATTCTCATGGTTCACTTTCCAGAAATATTGATATCAAGAGGTTCAGGCTTTTCAGAGCGCAACACTTGAGTTGATTTGCGGTGTGACGTCCCAGGAATTGTGTTCTGGCACGATTCAGGACCTCAACAGTCAGGTTGACCCGTGGCGTAGAAGTCCTGGTAATGCTGTTTTGGCACGCTTCAAGGTTTTCACGGTTGTCTTCCAACGGGGCATTTCTTTTTAGTGAAGTGAATCTGTGTATGTGTCCCAATAGCGTTGATGAGTCTTGGGTTTACACTGGTCCTCTTCCTCCTCGTCCTCCTCCTCCTCCCCACATTCTGGTTCACCTTCGGCTAATCCTCCTGCTTACCCGCCACCTCCTCCTCTCCGTCCTCCTCGACCTCCTCCTCCTCCTCCTTCTCTTATGTACGTACGCAGCCCTGCTTTTCCGATTGCGCATAACGCGGTGGGGTCTTTTTTGATGGAGTGTCACGTCGGCTATGACACACGTCCGCGGATAGAGAACACATCAGAGCAAATGAAAAGGAATGGGAGGGAGGGATAGGATGCCAAATGTGGCGCGAGCGCACCCAGCTAGCCTCCTCCTCCACCTGCTGCTCCTCCTCCTCCTCCTTCGCGATCCTTCCCGATCCTCCTCATCGCTACTCCTCCTCGATCCTCCTCCTCCTCTTCCTCCTTCATCCTCCTCCTCGATCCTCCTCCTCTTCCTCCTCGATCCTCCTCCTCCTCGGCGACGCTGCGGCAACGCCGGCGCGGGCCTTCAAGAGCTGAATCGGGAGCCTACTCTGGGTCTCTTGATAAGCGTGGGGGGTTTCCCCCCCGCGACCGGGGTCACCCTCGCCTCGTCGTCGCGCCGCGACGGGGGTCGGAGCGCCTTCGGCGCGCGGTGGCTGCCCGCGACGGGGGTCGATTTGGGGCTGTCGGCGGGGGTGATGCCCCCCCCGACGCTTGTTCAGAAACTCGGAGTAGCCTTGAGACGGGGGTCAGTGCAAACGGGGGTCCGCCAGAGCTCCCGATCTACAGCATCCTGCAGGGCCAGGGTCGCATTGACCCGGATTTTGGCGCAGGATCCTGCACAGGATTTTGCAGGGTCCTTCGCTTTGACCCAGGTTTGGGTCTTGCAAGATTCTGCAAGGCCTGACTGACCGGGGTCTGGATTAAACCAGGTCATAAGATCTCTGACTGAAGTTTTATTTCTCGAACACCTAACGCGCGTTATGTGGCCTCCAACCCACCCACCCACCCAATAGCTAACATGACGCCCTCAGCTTCACCCCCCCGTTGCAGCAGCGCCCGTTGTTTAGCGCACAGGTGTGCTGTTCGTAGCGCACGCGCAACGTGTTATGTTATGTGCCAGCGAACCCACCCACCCACCCAGCCACATAACTCGCGTTATGTGGTTTCAAAAAAAGTAAGCTCGGCGGCGAGCCCCAGGGGGGGACCCAAGCCTCCTCGAGTCCTCAAAAAAGCATTCACGCCGGACGGGTGTGCGTTGTCGTCAGCCGCCCAGGGGGCCCTCGCAAGGCCCCGGGACCGTGAACAAAAAACGACGCAGGATGAGAGACTTGCCCCGGGTAATGGGTCGAAACCGCTGGGGGTCGACCTTTGTAGGCCCCGGAAACGGCAGGGCCGTTTTTTCACCGTTTCCCAAAAAATGTCCCTTGAAAATGGAAGCGGCAAAAACACTGCGACCGGAAACGGCCAAAAAACGGCTCCAGGATTGGAACTGGAGCCGGTACCGGTCAAAAAACGGCGACGGAACCGGTAACAAAAACGGCGTCGGAACCGGCAAAAAAAAACGGCAGAACGGAACCGGTAAAAAAACGGCCCCGTCGTTTCCAGGGCCCACTAAGGGGTCGACGTCGCGCAAAACTCATGTCGAGCGAGAGGGGGCAGGCCTGCTCGGAAGGCCGCGGGTCGAGTCAGCCTCGCGGCCTCTGAGCAGGCCTGCCCCCCCTCGCCTCCCCCCTGGGGCTCGCCGCCGCTTCGGGGTGGCACGCCGCCGGTGGCCGCAAGCCGGCCGGGCGTCGAGCGAGCTGCGGTGTCGGGCAGCCGCGGTCGTTCGGGGTCGGGCGAGCCACGCAGCGGCAGGAGCCGACTCGCAAGGCGTCGCAAGCGGAAGCGTCCGCGCTCCCCCGTGTCTCCTCTTCCTCCTGCTCCAGGGGCAGCGACAAGGGGGGATGGGCACAGGTTGGGATGCATCGACCCGCGATCGCTCGTTGATCGCCGATGGGGGCCCGAGGGCCCCAACCTGCCCAGGAGCATGCGGATTTGCTATCGGGGGCCCATCGCCGAGCTTGTGTCGCCGATTCCAGGTCGGATTTTCCCGCCCTCTGTCAGTCCCCCCCTTCTCGTTGCTCCTCGCTCCTCCTGTCGCCGGGCGCAACAAGACGTTGCCCAGCCAATAAATTCTGTTGGCTGCCGCGCACCCGTCGCGCGACCCCCACCGAGCAGCCCGAGCGTCGGAGGGGACGACGTGGTCGAGAGCGTGGTGTGCGCGCATCTGCTTGGACCACAGCTCTTCGGGTTCCTTTTCCCTGCTTCCCCAACCAGGGCTCATTCCGATTACAGTCGGGGCCCTGAAGAAGGAACCCTTTTCGCTGGGGAGGGGCTCCGCGTTCCTTAAGTGTTTCGCAGCTTGCCTCAGGTTTTCCTTATGTTTTCGATCGGAAATCGAAGTTTAACTCATGGAAAAAAGGGGCCTCGTTCCTTATTTTGGGTTCCTTAGGTCAACGCCCCGACTGTAGATCGATCCCATCCGAGGTCGATCTCGGCCGGGTTCGCGCCCCAATGCTCGGACGATCCGGTGCGGCCCGATGCTTGCTTGCCCGGAGCGCTGCCGTGCACCTCGGCGCGGCCGATCTGCTTCGAGCTCGGCTCCGTGCCGCTGCGGCCCGCTCTGACGCGGGCTCCGAGTCGATCTTCCGATCCGATGCCGACCGACCCTGCCCTCTTGAGTCCAACCTCTTCCCTGCTCCGTCCTCCCTCCTCCGTGCCCCTCCCCACTTGGTTCTTCGTGCCTCGTCCTTCCTCCCTCCCGCCCTCCCTGGCATTCCTTGCTTCTCCCTCTCCCACACTGTTCCCTTCCCGCCCCCCCCCCTTCATCCGCCACCTGCTCCCCCTTCCTCTCCTCCCCTCCCTCCCTCCCTGTCCCACCTTTCGGTGCCCTCGACACCTTTCCGCCACCCGCGTCAGTTGTCCCCCGTCCTCTCCACCCCCTGGTCCCCCCCTTCCTCGGGTCTCCCTCGTTCCTCAGTCCCTACGCCCGCGCCCTCGTCCCTCGAGCCTCCGAGCTCCCGCCTTTCCTCGTCGTGCCCCGCCCGTGCTCCCCTTTCTCCCTCGTCCAGTCTCCCTGGCTCCGCATCCCCGTCCTCCGTCCGTCGTTCCCCGTCCTCCCTCCGTTCCCCTCCCCCCCGTCCCCTCCCCCGATAAGAGCTCTTCATCCTGGCATCGCTCGGACGTGTGTATTTTTCCTTTGCGAGGGCCATCGAGGAGCATCCTTGATCATCTGGCGAAAAAACCACGCACGAAACCGAACAAACACAGGGAATGGACGTCCGAGCGATGGCGAGTCATTGAAGCGGAGCACAGTGCTCCACAAGGCCCTCCGCCCCTCTCGTCCATCCTCCCTCTGTCCTCCGTCCCCTGGTAGTGGAACGGGTGGAGGGGGAAGAGGATGAGGGAGGATGAGGATGAGGATGATAATGATGAGATGCGGCTGAGGATGAGGAGGATGAGGATGAGGATGAGGATGAGCATGGGGATGATGATGACGAGGAGATGACGCTGACGATGATGATAATGATGATGCTGATGCTTATGAGGATCAGGATGGTGCTGCTGATGATGATGACTATGCTGACCATGCTGATGCTGGTGGTGATGATGTGGTGCTGATTCCGGTGACGAGGATGAGGACGATGTTGATGAT